AGTTATCGTTTGAGTTAGACAATAGAATTTAGTTCTGGAGAGATTTCAATACAAGTTGAAAGGAAGGTCAAGTTTGGGGAGGAATATGAAACAGTAAGATTTCAAGGGATAAGAGAATGAGCTCTTCCTTATTTAAGAGTCATTTGCTTGGTTGGGGGCACATGGTGCAATATGCAGATCTTGTAACATAGAAACCTGAAACCTATATGATCATATTAACCAATGTCACCCTAATAAATTTAATTTTAAAAAAGGAAAAAACAAACAGTCATTTGCTACAAAAAGAAAATCTTGGCAATATATGCTCAGGCTTCTCTTTTCTCCCCACCTCTCTGCTTTCTTTCATCTGTACGTAGTGTACTAAATGAATCTAAACCTAAGAAGTTATTGAAACAAGATAACAAGAGCTAAGTTTCATAAACTTGAAGTCTTGAGTTCTGGGACTGGCATAGTAATGCCCTAAACAATAATTTTCACGTAAGAAAAAACTTTGATTCCTCATATGGCTTGATCATATTTCAGCCTCATTTATTTCCTTTTCATGACTCAAACATTTGGATTTCAATTCCTTGCCAATTCTTCTATATCCCCAATTTGACCTTCCTCTCAGCATTAATATTTTCCACCCAAGTTCATATACAGAAACATGTTTGAGAATATCAAGGCTAATTTAAGTCAAGACAATGGTGAGAAAAGTTAGGTAGTTAATCCTTTAGCAATGCCCCTCCTACCTTCACCCAAAGTAGATGGATGGGAAGTTTTTAAACAGAAAAAAAAAGATAAAGTTGGGAGGGAAACAACAAGAAAGAGGTAAGGATAAGTTCAAGGAAAATGGTTCTACTTTGGCAGAAGAAAAACAAATTTTATATTTAGCAGCTTTGCTAGTCCTATTTCAAAGCAAAAGAACAGGTATTATCTTACTAGTTTACTGATACCCATTTTAGCATGCTTGCTTCTCCATAACTTGCAGCTCATTCCTCATATCAGTTGGTAATTCCACTACATAAATTTCTAATGAATCCAGTGATGCCTGGAAGCTAAATTCTTCATACATAGTTTTTCTTTCTAGAGCTATAGAGCATTTCATAGATACTTTCTCTTTTATTCACCAAGCATTTCTATGACTGCAACGGAAGGCTGTGTACCCTTCAGTGGTCGGCAAACCGCGGCTCGCGAGCCACATGCGGCTCTTTGGCCCCTTGAGTGTGGCTCTTCCACAAAATACCACGTGCGGGCGCGCAGGAACACTGCGATTGAAACTTCGTGGCCCATGTGCAGAAGTCGGTATTTTGTGGAAGAGCCACACTCGAGGGGCCAAAGAGCCGCATGTGGCTCGCGAGCCGCAGTTTGCCGACCACGGCCCTAGGTCATGTGAATTGTCAGGAAGAGAAAACCAAATTCCAGACTTCAAGTTCTGGACTTTTCGCACTGAACTCTGCTACCTCTCCTCTCTAGACCCAATGACGTACTTTCCAGGCTGTGGTTCTTTCTGACCGATGATTGCTCTTCCTGATTTTTAATTCCCCAAAGAATCTCTCTTGGAGAGTTTCCTCTAGGTTGGTTTCATTCCATTCATCCACCCCTTTGGGTACAGTTCCTCAACATGTTACAAATTCAGTTAACATTTTTCTTCCTGACTTCACATCAAGGAGTTGCTACCCTGGCTTTATGATCATATTTGTAGATTCTTTTAGAATCCTGGGATGGAACATGTCTGGGCCTGAAGACAAGCTCATTTATGGGACTACATACTCTTTCAATGCCTTCTCACCTACCTTCTGATTGAAGTGCCTTCTAGAGGTATTTGTTTAAAATCACTTTTTGGTTTGAGATCATTTTTTCCAAGAGCAAGTCAAGAGGTTGGCAAACAATGAAAGGTTTTGACTATTGTTTTTGTAGCTGACTCAAGGATACCACTTTGCCTTGCCCTATGACTCTGAAATAATTTCTTTCTGCTTTCAAATGATCTATATATATAAAAGGCGAATATGCAAATTGTCCCCTCGGGAGTTCGACCATTTGCTATGATGTGCGTTGACCACCAGGGGGTGGCGTGGAACAGAGGAAAGCCCCAGCTGGCAGCCAGAAGGCCCTAATCGATCAGCCCTGATTGCCAGCCAGGCCTAGGGACCCTACTCATGCATGAATTTCGTGCACCGGGCCTCTAGTATATCAATAAAATTGGAATCTCTCCAATGGCAGAATAATCACTGGTTTAAAATATTACAAAGACACTGATAGGAGAGCAGATCCCAGCTTTTTGGAATTTTTTGGTATATGTGTGGACTAGGCTGTGTTGAGGGTGAAATGAATGGTAGATAGATTATCCAAAATCAATGATGGCATAAGACAAGCCATTGCAAAATAAGAGGATACGTCACTTGCTGGCTCCTCATGTGATATGCGTCCATTAACGTTTTGCTACACTTCAATAAATAAAATGAAAAACAGAACCTTCATTTCCACACTCAGAGGTATTTCCCGGATGTTCTACAAAATGTATGCATTAAAATATATGATACAGTGGGCCTTGAAGATAGCAGTGCCATGGCTTTAGCAACATGAGAGCTGTGGGGTACGGCATCCACAGAGGTTGCATGAGAGGATGATGATGTTCTCCAAGACCCCAGGCTGCTGGAGGAGCTGTTGTCCAAAGGGAGCAAAAGCAGCAATGAGGCTCTATTTTCTAGGGCACTATCAACTGTTCAAGGGATGTGAAAAAGCTTTATAATATATGCAAGAGCTGCTGCCAGCAGAGCAGCCAGGCTAAGGAGCTGAAGAAAGGAGAAAACTGTCTCTCTTCTTCCTCCTTCGTCATCTCCTGTCCCCTCACTCCTCACCATCCCTATATCTACCCCCCCCCCCACATACACACTTTGCTCCTCATCCCTAAGTTCCTCTGAATCCTAGTCATTAAGATCCCTTCACTCTCCCCATGTTTCAGCCCTTTTAGTCTCTCTTTTAATGACTTCCCTTCAAGCAGTTTGCCCTCAGAATCCCCTCCCCTACCTACCAAAAACCTTCCTAATAAGATTTAGGGGATAGCCAAGTCAAATGATTTATAAATTGTCTCTCCATATGGATTGTTTCTATATATTTAAAAAATTAGTCTAATTTATTTGATTCTTAACAGCATTAATTTGGGAATTTCAATTTTTAAAACCAATTTCTGAAATTTTGCCACTGCTCTAATAACATAAAAGTAGGATGCAATATAAAATAAGGACCCATGGCATTTATGCAGTTTCTTGTACAGGGAACAGAGATGGAATGAGAGGCCTACTACATTAATCCCTGGGGCCCTGTTTGAGGTGATAAGAAAACTTAGGAAACCTATGACTGGGCAAAAGGGGCAGAGATACTGGATCAGAATCCTCTGATCTTTAGCTCAGTATTAGATTTCAGTTTGGTGGGAAAATTACCCTAACACCCAGGTCTCCAGATCGATAACTTCATGTTGTCAATAAAACACATGAGCTTGAAAAATCAGGAAGAGGAGTTTGAATCCTGGCTCTGCCTCTTACTATAAGTGGTGTGAATTTGCAAAAGTTATTTAGCCTCTTTAAAACTGTTTCCTGCCCTGGCTGGTTTGGCTCAGTGGATAGAGCGTTGGCCTGTGGACTGAAGGGTTCCGGGTTCAATTCCGGTCAAGGGCACATGCCCAGGTTTCGGGCTTGATCCCCAATGGGGGGCATGCAGGAGGCAGCCAATCAATGATTCTCTCTCATCATTGATGTTTTTCTCTCTCCCTCTCCCTTCCTCTCTGAAATCAATAAAAATATATTAAAAAACAAACAAATTGTTTCCGTATCTGTAAAGTGGGGCTACAGTTGCTGGGAGGTTTAAATGAGCTAACCTGGCAAGAGCAGACAGAGTTTAACTAAGGTTAGCCTTCTCCCCGCCCTCTTTAGCCCTTTGCTTGACACCTGGAGTCAACATGGATTGCACAACTCCTAGATTCCCAGATCATATCTAGGAAGGGAGGAAAGTGGCCAAATCTTTATCAGGAATTTAAACTCCTGGTTTATTTGCCCCTTGGCTCAGTTATCTTATCACTGCTGGTATAATTCTCGAAACCTCTCTGGAACTCAGTTCATTCCTCAGTGGGATAAGACAATAACAATCGATGCTCTTAAAACACAGGTTAGATAAGAGGCAACTGACATTTATGAAATACAATGTTACCCAAGGATAAAAATGTAGAGTCAAGCCCTGGCCAGGTAGCTTAGTTGGTTAGAACATCTTCCAGATACACCAAGGTTGCAGGTTTGGCCTTGGCACATACAAGAATCAACCAATGAATACATACGTGGAACAACCAAATCGATGTCTGTCTCTCTCTCTCTCTCTCTCTCTCTCTCTTTCCTCTCGCTCTCTCGCTCTCAACATCAATAAATAAAAGAAAAGTAAAGTCAAAACACATTTTCAGTAAATGCCATTATAGGGTACAGCAGTGTTTCCCAAAATGTGGGGTGTGAATTGCTGGTGGTACACAAAATGATTTTACGTGGAAATCAGCTGCAGCATAAAATGACATAGAATACATAGAAAGCTATTCCCTTTTCAATAGTCTTTGATTACCTCAAGAATTATCATTTTGGGTCCCTGACAGTTGCTTATTTCTCTCTTTAAAAAGAGAGTAAGCCTCAGGTTCCATGCCTTCAGCAAGAGGAGTAATTAAGTGGAATTTAGAAATATTCCCAAAGTTTTAATTTTTACATTTATCTTCTTATTATACTAAACAATACTGGTTTTCCATTTATGATCATGACAAGAAATTATTAAAATAAATTGAAGTTTTAAAATACATTACATATTAGAAAATTTTATATTTTTAAAAATGAGTTAGCAAATAAAAATACCAAGTGAGCTCTAATACAGTGTGGATTCAGACAAATTGAAAAGGATAGTTTGCAAATAACTGAAGCTCAAGAAATACTGGCCTGGGGATGGGGAATAAGGATACCTGGATTCTGGTCCTGTCTCTGGTAGTAACTTACTGTGTGACGTTGCTGAAGTTACTGGAACCTCTCTGAGTCAGCATCTTCACCAGGAAACTAACAGGGTTTGCTTAGGTGGTCTCCAGGGACCCTTCTGGTTCTAATATCCTATAATTTGAAGCAGATGATTAGAGCATTTTCTGTTCTTTTGGCTAAGAATCAATGGCTGTCTTCCTACCCTATTTTCTTTCCATAATTCCCACCCCCTTTCAGGCATTTTGATATCTAATCCAGAAGAAATATGGATCTCCTTTTTTATTAACACTCATAAATTTAACTAGCGCATATATTATTCCAAAAATGCAAAATGAAGGAAGGAATTCTTTGTAATGGAGAGAATGCTGGATTTTGAGGGAGATGTCATTCATCCTGGCCCTAGCTTTGCCATTTACTGACAATGTGATCTTAGGTAACCTTAAGTTCCCTTTAGCACTAAAATTCTATGAAATGCAAATGAATCTATAAAAAGGAAATAGATCAGCTGAGAATTTACTTCCTTTCCTTTCTAACTGCATATTTACCATCTTACAGTAATATTTTAATATAGACTCCAAGCTGAAAAGAGATCTTTATTTTAATCCTCATTTTTATACTAACATGGGATTTGGGACATGGTAGGTAATTAACAAATATTTCATGAATAAATAAAGAGTGGCTTCTCACCCTGGCCAGTTGGCTCAATTGGTTGGAGTGTTGTCCCAAACACCAAAAGGTTTAGGGTTCAATTTCTGTTCAGGGCACAAACCTGGGTTTCAGGTTTAATTCCCGGACGGGATGCCTGTGGGAGGCAAACCCTTAAATGCTCTCTCTCAAATCAATATCTCTCTCTTTCTAAAATCAATAAAAAAAAATCCTCAGGTGGGGACTAAGAATAAGAATAATGATACTTTTTTAAAATAAGTAAAACTAATTTAAAAAACATTTTAAAGTGGCTTCTTGTGAGGCCAAGAAAAATCATATGTCATCAGGTAAGAACTTAATTCAAAGGGAGTTAATTGAGAACCTACTATTTATTTGGCAGCCATATTTGCCAGGCATTATACCTATTTATTTTCCATAAAGAGCAAGATAAAAAAGACATGACCTCTGTCTTCCATTAACATATGACCCTTTTGGGGGAGATAGCACATATATAAATAACTACATTATGCTAAAAGAACTACAGTACATAGGAAAAGTGCTGAGCTTCTTATGAGCAGAACTGTGCCTCAACCTTATTCTTCCACTAACTAGTTGTATGAATGTGAGAAAGTCATTTGTACAACCGAACATCAGTTTCATCACCTGTAAAATAAGTTTACACTGTATGATCTCTGAGTCTGAAAGTGATTTTATGCCTCTGAGAAATTAGTTTACTTATTCTTGAAAACTTTTAACTCTATGTTGGAGGTGATCTTTTCAATACAAGCAAAGTCATCAAAATGTTTTTTATTGGCTTCAACCTTCAATTGCCTCAATCTTTGAACTCTCTCCTATTAGTAAACTTCCTAATTTGATTTCCCTTTATTTTTGTAAAGACAGTATTAAGAACACTTGCTTTCTAAATTAACTTCAACTATCCTATTAGGAAGTTAGATGAAAGACACAATTCAACTCCATTCAACAAACGTTTATTGAACATCAATTATGTGCAAAGCCCTAAAAATGATTCCCAGATAAAGAAAGGTCATGGCCCTTAGGAACCTACAACCAAGTAGAGAAAAGAAAACATTTCCATTATATCAAGGGTATTCATTTCATAGAAAGGAAAAAACAAATCCAGAAAGCAAAACAATAAGGAAGCTATAATAGAACTTGAAAAGAAATAATATGAAGGAGTACTGGAAATCAGTCAGAAATTCCACAGCTTAAAAAAAACTATCACCTATAAACTAGCAACTAAAGGCATCAGTAGGAAGATCTAGCATTTAAATCCATCACACAAGGACCAGACAAGCTAGTGGGGGCCAGAAGCTGGAGTGGAGATAGCCTATCAATTGTCCCCAGGACTCTCTGGGGCCCGTGAAAAAGATTCAAATTCCAGTCAATGTGGTTGCCCTCCAACAGAAGGGAGAAATAACTGATCAAAAGCCAGGCAACTGCCGTGGCCGGTTTGGCTCAGTGGATAGAGCGTCGGCCTGCGGACTGAAAGGTCCTGGGTCCGATTGGCATGTACCTTCGTTTCGGGCACATCCCCAGTGGGAAGTGTGTAGGAGGCGGCTGGTCGATGTTTCTCTCTCATCGATGTTTCTAACTCTTTATCTTTCTCCCTTCCTCTCTGTAAAAAATCAATAAAATATATTTTTAAAAAGCCAGGCAACAGAAAGTATTTCCCAAACAAGAAACAAAATAATAGAGGGGGAAGGGAGTACCAAGTAAGAGAAATCTTTGTGTTTTGTGTGGTATGTGACGTGTAATTTTCTTTCCCCTCATAACCTCTATAGAATGGTCACAGGCAGAAACATTCAGAAAAATGAAAATGCAAAGCTCTATCAAAGGAAAAGAAAAATGATTGATATGAGGAAAATCTCCATTATAGTGTGGAATATTCCATTTTGTACAGATTTCTCCTGAAGGTCAAGGGCTGAGCTAAAGGACACAGCTAGCATGTGAGTGCCCTGAGTTTAGGAGAGGAAGGGGAGCCCTGGCCGATAGGTCAAGGGCTGAGCTAAAGGACACAGCTAGCATGTGAGTGCCCTGAGTTTAGGAGAGGAAGGGGAGCCCTGGCCGAATGCCTAAATAAGTGAAGTGGAACAACAAGTCTCTCTCTCTCTCTGGTTAGGGCACATACAACAATCAATCAATGAATGCCTAAATAAGTGAAGTGGAACAACAAGTCTCTCTCTCTCTCTCTCTCTCTCTCTCTCTCTCTCTCTCTCTCTCACACACACACACACACACACACGCACACACACACACGTGTCTCTCTCTCTCATCAATCAATAAAAGGAGAGGAAGGGGAAGAAACTGGGTTAGCTCAGCAACAAGCACAGGGAATCAATCCTGAAGAAGGGGCCTCATGCTTATTCTTTTAGATAGAATATGATAATTTTCTGGGGCATTCCAGCCATAGATATAGAAACATCTAGACTGGTTGCACCATTTCCCACACTTCTGAGCAATTTTAGATATAGTTGTAAACTAAGATAAAATTATACATCTTTGAAAACCCAATGCTGATATTCTGCCCATACCACACTGTCAAAACACCCCATAAAATATGTGAATCAGGAAGAAGAGTGAAAAATAAGATAGCAGGGTAAAAGTGGGGCCACTGTTAGACTTTTCATCCTCAGAAAGACTACCACAGAAAAAAGGGGTTGCCACCAGAACTTTCCTCTGGACCCTGTTGTTTTCCCAGCATGTTTCACAATTATAAAGGTACCTATTACTGTTTATTAATGGATATGTTTATGTATTCAAAGTAAGCTTGTCTAGCTAAATCCTGAGCAAATTCCACAATCTTCAATCTAGAATCCCAGACTTAGCTCTACAAATTCATGATTAGAAACTCCAGCCCTGAACGAGTTTGGATAAATTCTTCAGCTTTGCCTAAGAGTTAGCCTGGGGGGAGCTGGGTAACAATTACAATAGCAGAGAGGTCCAAAAAGCAAAAACGAACACCAAACAAGCAACTCTCTTATTGTTTATTGTCTAAGCCATGTGGGCTTTCCAGGCTGTTATTAACTTTTATTTGTTGTTTGGTCTTGTTTGTACAGAATCAAAACACTATGGCAAACTTTTTCATCTTTGAAATTTAACATTAGGGAACAATAAAATATTTGGTACTCTGGATGTTGTAGTTTTTGTTTCTTTTTTCCTGGTGGTGCTGCCTTCAAAACCCTGTTACAAAATTTATTAGGTAAAAAAAAAAAAATCTTAGTCATGTTTGATTATTGTTTTAAGTAAGTATTGTTTCCCTTTAATTATAGGAAGGAGACACTTATTGTTCTTACCAAGACGTAGGTTTAGAAATAAGATCCTGGCTGGGGAGCTCAGTTGGTTAGAGTATTGTCCTGATATGCCAAGACTGTGGGTCCCATCCAGGGCAAAACCAATATAAGTAAAAACCAATCTATAATAATAAAAGCGTAATATGCTCATTAGACCGGACATCCTTCCGGACGACTTTCTGGACGAAGCCTGGGCTGTGAGGGAAGCCTGGGTCCCAGGTGCCAGAGGGAAGCCGGTGCTGGCAGCTGGGGGAAGGAAGGCCTACTCTTGCACTAATTTCGTGCACTGGGCTGCTAGTGAATGTATAAATAAATGGAATAACAAATCATTTCTCTCTCTCCCTTCCTCTCTTTCTAAAAATCAGTAAATAAAATAAAATAAGTAAAATAAAGAAATAAGATCCTGCAAGAATCCTTATTTAGAAATTTGTCTATAACTTCAGAGACCAATATGGACCAATATCTTAACAGCAATCCACTTGAATTGCTCTAATTTTTGATTCTCCCCAAAAAAAGGCCATGGTTGTGAACTGAATGCATTCATGACATCAAGGAAAATATACCTACAATGTCCATATGAGTAATGAAAAGTTAATTACAGGAGAAGCCCACCTTTCTGTGCTATTATTATGTATTCTGAAGGAGAAAAAGAAGAAGTTCACCTCCAAATGAAGTTAAGATTACCTACAATTGCCAAAACCGGTTTGGCTCAGTGGATAGAGCGTCGGCCTGCGGACTGAAAGGTCCCGGGTTCGATTCCGGTCAAGGGCATGTACCTGGGTTGCGGGCACATCCCCAGGAGGAGATGTGCAGGAGGCAGCTGATCGATGTTCCTCTTTCATCGATGTTTCTAACTCTCTATCCCTCTCCCTTCCTCTCTGTAAAAAATCAATAAAATATATTTAAAAAAAAAAAAAAGATTACCTACAATAATGTGGTGAAAAAATTTTTTTAATTAATATAGGAAATTATTATTTTATAATACGAAAGAAAAAAGGCAAGACAAATTTTTTATATCGCAATCTACTTCCAAATGCTAATTATTTACATATGCGTGTCATATTTTCCTTGAACAAAAGTATGTAATCAGCTCTAGGCAGTTTGGCTCAGTGGATAGAGCGTTGGCTTGCAGACTGAAGGGTCCCAGGTTCGATTCCGGTCAAGGGCATGTACCTTGGTTGCGGGCACATCCCCAGGAGGGGGTGTTCAGGAGGCAGCTGATGGATGTTTCTCTCTCATCGATGTTTCTAACTCTCTATCCCTCTCCCTTCCTCTCTGTAAAAAATCAATAAAAAATATATTTTAAAAAAAATGTAATCATTATTGCTCCCCCTCTCTTATGCTTAAGTACCTCTCTGCCAATATAAGAAAATGGTAGAGAAAAAACATACACCACACCCTTAAGAGGTATAACTCCATGAAATGCCATGCTGTTAAAACAACATTTTGTTGAGATGTGAGAAATAGAATATAAGGGAGGATGAAAAAAATTTTTTAATTGTATTTTAAGATAGCAAATATTGGTTCAAATTTTTCAAGGAAATAATATCTACATAACAGAAATTATGAGTAACCAGCCTTAGATAACGACACAGCAGCAAAGTTTTTGGAATAACTCAAAATTGAGATTCAAAAGAATAGGGTGGGAGTTTTTTAGTGGTTTTGACACCGTTGTGATGAGCTAATAATAATAGGAAAAGAGCAAAGTGGGAGGCCAGACATTATAAGCATGGTCATTTGGGCAGCTTCACCAGAAAGCTGCAACTTCACACTCCCCAGGGAGCCACTGGTCCATTCCCTGCAGAGCACTGTGGGAAGGGATTGGACAAAGGGGAGGATAGACACATGCGTAGTAAACTTGGGGTGACATAGGGAAGGTGCTGGTCAGTCAAACCTGGGAATAGATATCATTGGCTAGGACTGGTGGAGCCAATCCAAGTCTGGGAAAATCTGGGAACACATAATCCCCCAAACAAAGAAGCTCACCTTGGCTCTCTTGGCTCTTTGGTTCCTTTGGCTTGTTCCTACCCATGTTCCCTCCACAGTCTTGTGGCCCTGCAGACCCTTCATGCAATGGACTGATGAACTGCAATGGGGAGCACAAGCTCAGCTAGCCTGATGCTGGATTAGACTGTGCAGACAGGGAACGGACACTCTGGGCAACAGCTTTAATCCTAGCCCGATTAAAGGCACAGCTGGACCTTTTCCTCGGTGGGATGAAGGGAGAGGGGACCTTGGAAACTCAGGGATAGAATTCCACAGAAATAAAGCTTTCTCCAGTAGCTCATTCTCCCGTGCCAGTCTCAGAAAATCCCTTTTCTCAAGATATCACAAGAAACCCACAGGCAACCTGTGGGGATGAGGAGAGCTCCCCACTGATTACAGTTTTAGCGTTTTGAAATTGAATACTTTCCAGAACTTTCCTTTATTATTTTGATTATACATATATTTAATGCTATTTTTATGGCTCTTGGCCCATCCCTTATTTTTTATGAGAATATGATCTTTCAATTTTGCAGTTAGCTGGGATTACTATGTATAAGAATAATATCTAACACATATCTGCCACTTAGTATCTGACATGGTATCAGACCCTGTTCTAAATGCTTTTTTTTTCATATTAACTCAATTTTTAAAACTATGAAGTAGGTATTATTACGATCCTCATTTTATAGATGAGAAGACAAGCACAGGGAGCTAAATAATTTGCTCAAAGACGCACAGCTAGTACATTCTTAAAAGACCAGAAGAAAACACGCCAAGGTGGTTTTTCTCAAGGCATGCGGTTATAAAGGATTGTTAAGAGAGATGTCATAATAAGATCTCGGACAGTGGCAGCTGAGTTGGAAAAGAGGACAGATTTCAGAGCAGTTTAAGAGAAAATACTGTCAGAGCTTGTGGACTGATTGATTCCACCTGGGGTTGAGAGAAAGGGAGATGGGTCTTAAGAATACTTCAGCCCCTGGCTCAGGGGTCTGCCTGGGTGAACATGATCACTGAGGTAGGGAATACGGAAGATTGGAGCAGCTTTGAGAGAGAAGATGGTGCGCTCAGTCTTGACATGTTGAGCTTTATTGTTAATTATTTAAATATGCAAATTTTTAAAACTCAAGAAAGAAGTCAGGTCTGGACTTGAGAGTCTTCACACAGAGCTGGTAGTTAAACCCAGAAGAGAGGTTGCCAAGGAAGCAGGAAAAAAAACTGTGGGCAGCCCTAACCGGTTTGGCTCAGTGGATAGAGCCTCCGCCTGCGGACTGAAGGGCCCCAGGTTCGATTCAGGTCAAGGGCATGCACCTTGGTTGCGGGCACATCCCCAGTAGGGGGTGTGCAGGAGGCAGCTGATTGATGTTTCTCTCTCATGGATGTTTCTAACTCTCTATGCCTCTCGCTTTCTCTCTGTAAAAAAAAATCAAATATATTTAAAAAACAAAACAAAACAAACAAAAAACAACAACTGTGGGCCAAGGGTAAAACTCTGGAGCACTTTAACTTTATGTGATTTATAAGGAATATGATGGAGTTAACATTAAAATTAAAAAATAGATATGAAATGCAAGGCCTATGTTTGCTTTTCCAGCTAGGTTTCATTTATGATAGATAAGGTAGCATGGGAGTAGCTAGGGCAGGGCAGTCAGACAATTTTGGGTGCAAATCTAGCACTTTGCCACTTAATAATTCTGTCACTGCTATCAAGTTACTAAGTGTCTGTAAAATGTGAATGATTAATACACTACTCATACCATTGTGGGTATTAAATAGGTTAATCCACAAAAGCACGTTTACGGCATAGTGCCTAGCATGTAGCGTGGACACAATAAATATTCAATGTTATCACTAATGAGTACACAAATCATAAAATTATTTTTCATTCCACTATCATGCTTTGCCAGTTGAGAAGATGGTCAGGAGGTCTGCTGGTTAGCAGAAATAAACAAACTACCGTGGAATGAAATAATTGTATGAAAGCCACCAAAATAATTCACAGACACTCAAGAACTGGTATTTTTCCCATGAATTTGTATGGTATAGTACACGTAACCGGAGGTCATAGCAGTTGGCTAAAAGAATTAGAAATGCTGGTTCATGAACTACAAGACTATTTAAATTTTTCTTTTGTTCTCTCAATAATTAACAACTAGCCCCACTGCCTGGCAGTAAGTAATTAATAAATATGTTAACTGGATGTAACAAAGTGATTTAATAAAAAAAGGAGGGTAATTTTTTTATATCTGCGATTAAACATTTCACTATTGGAAGAATGATCAGTTGCAATGAAAAAGTAGACACCGTACGTGTCATCTGAAATTTCTCAAGAGTTTGGCTTTGCAACTCCTTTCCCATCCGTACCTGCCGCACTTTTGAAATTCCCAGGCTTCTATGGGTTTCCTTTTGGAAGGAGGTTTGGCGTCCTCGGAAGGGCTCATTAAAATGCAAATATGTCCTCTGTAAATGGGAACCAACGTGGCATCCGGCAGACACGGACACAGTTCTCAGCCCTGCAGGGTGGGTGGCGGACTCCCGGTGGCCTCGACCTCGGGCGCAGGAGGGGCCGCTTCGGAGCTGACCTGTGGGGTCAGCCTCGGCCGAAGGCCAGCGCCCCGCGGACCAGCAGCCTCGCTGCAGCCCGGAGGCAGGGCCCGCTCAGGGCGCCGCCCGGACAAAGGCGGCCCGGGCGGCCCGGTGGTGGGGCGGGGGATGCCGTCACGCCCGGGCCTCCCGGTTTTTCCCGAACCTTCACCCCGATTCTTCCTAGAACCCGCCGGCTCTCGTCAGAACGCGCGACCTGACGAGTGGGGCATAGCGATGCTCATTCTTTTTTTTTTTTTTCCTTCTTCAGGGCAACCTCCAGTTCCCCAGCACACTGGGGGCTGGGGACGTGGCCAAATCCAGTTAAAACCTGAAATGTCTTTTTTGTTCCTTTCAGTTCAGCTAGTTTAAATCCCATGCACTCTTGAAGCTGTGGGCTAATATGTATTGTGCAATTCTCGACTTGCCGTTGCAAAGGCAGTGCAACTTATAAATACCGTGCTCGGGGTCCCGGCGGGGAAAACCAGACCCAGGCAAACGCCTAGTCAGCGCCGACTCAAGAGTTCCGGCCCCCGCTTCCGCCTTCCCGCGCTTCCTTCTACCGCGGACCCGATCCCACCAGCTGAGGCGCGCGCGGGGGGGCGGGGCGCCGAACAGAGGCCGTCACGTCCCGAGCGTCGGGAGGCGGAGACTCTGCCTGTGACGTCACTAGACTCCGCCCCTCACAGTCCCGATATCATTCCCGCCGCCCGCCATTTTGTCTCCAGTGTCTCGTTTTCAGTCGACAGCGTGGAAGGGAGTGTCTGGGTCTGTAGACGTCAGGCAGCGACCAGGGTCTATTGTCTGAGTTTGACCCCGTAGTTCGGTCCGAGGCCTTCCGGAGCTTCCCCGGGGCAGTCGGCAGAGGCCGCCGCGACCGCCCCCGCCCCTCCCTCCGTCCCCGGGACCGGGAGGGACCCATCCCGCGTCACGCCCCTCAGCGCTCGCCGCTCCCTTCTCTGTCGTTGCGCCCGCCTCGCACCCCCGGAATCAGACGGTGCCCCATAGATGGCCAGCTTTCCTCCGAGGGTTAACGAGAAAGAGATCGGTGAGGAACGGGACGGTGGGCGAGGGGTGCTGGCGAGCGCGCGGGGGCTCGGGAGAGGCAGGGACCCGGCGGAGGAGGGTCGAGGGGAGCCCTCCGCGGCTGCGGGGGTGGGGTGAGCCGGCCGACCCCGGAGAGAACTGGAAGGAAGCGGCTCGGCGCGCGGGTGGGTGTTGCGAGGGATAAAGGCGATCCTCATTGATGCGGCGCCTCCCCTGCGCCTGGCCCCGGAGGCGGCGGCGCGCGGCTCTCAGGGTCGAGGGGAACCTGGGCGCCGAGCAGCGAGGGCTCCAGTGATGACCGCGGCCCGGGGCCGACACACTTGGGGACCCCGGTGTCCTCCTCCGAGGTCCGAGCGGGGCCGTGATCCTGGGATCCTTCTTGCTTGGCTCAGCCGCTGGGGCGTCGAGTGGGCAGGGGCGGAGTGCTGGTCAAGACTGGGGGACTCTCAGGTTTTTATGATGCGAAAGTGAACTCCCGTGCTCTGAGCTGCAATGAGTGAACGGCGGGGGTCCTCGTGTGCCCACCGCTCTTTTAAGGAGGAACGCGACCGAAGCGCCGCCATCAGCCAGGCAAAGGCAGTGTTTCAAAAATGGCCTGGCGTTAAGGAAGGGAGTGGTTCGGGGGAGGACGACTCCGAGTTATCTTTCGGGCGCACAGGAGCAGGGAGGGGCCCGCGCGGGGTGGAGTGGCCGCAGGGAAGCCGCGGTGCGGAAGGGCCGTCGGGAAAGGCTGTGCGCAAACTGGGGCACGGCCAGCTCCGCCGCCCCGAAGCCGGGGCAGTGGGTGTCGCGGGTTGTGCGTCAAGACCTCAGTGGCTCAGTTTAAAAGCATCTCACGTTTTTTTTTCGGGGGGAGGGGGAGTGGTTGAGGTACAGTGCATTGCTAGACTTAGTAAAAATTGCACATGTTGTATACCATACATATAGGTCATTTTTATTTTAAAAATTTAAATAGATGTAGCAACCTCCCCTCCCCCCCAACAACCACAAAAATCCCATCTCTGACCTTATGTTAATGTGAAGGTGGCAACTGAGTAAGAGCCTTTGCATTTCCTTGTTCTTCAACTAAATGGGTGCCTTGACTAAATACATGGAGGAGGTATTTGTAGAGAAAGGGAGAAGCTGAACCACCCAAATCGCCCTCTATCCTGTCTATGGTCAAATTTTTTATATTTAGAGACAGCTTAAAACGAAATGGCTTTAGTTTTAAGGGTAAGGTATTGAATGGCAGTTTAGGAAGGGAGCTTTGTAATTCTGATTTTAATAACTTTTAAATTTGCAGAGAAAACAATTCGTATCCCATTTTTATTGTCACTGTGCTTTAAGACTAATGTGCTCTGATGTGGAACATAGAACGCAAAAGAAGTTATTCTGAAATCAATAAAAGTATGCATTTTTTAAAAAGTTCTTACTTTTAGTCCAGTGGTTCCCTCCCTCCCCCCATTACATAATATCACAGATGAGTGATCTGCCTTTCATTAATTTGTGTTTTTGCTTCACCTTGATGAACCATTTTGAAAACTTTTCAGTCCTCTCTTCTAAGGGATAGAGCGGACCTGCATAAGGTAGAATCATCTAAGTAGCCTTTTCAATTAAAAAATTTTTTTTCATATTTAGGTCTCAGTGTTATTTCCTGGATATAAGGTTACTAAGTGCCAGCATAAAAATGCTTTGGTCTTTTCTAACTGAACAAATTTTATTTAATCCTCATGGAGGATATTTGAGAGAGAAAAAGTGAAACATGGATATCAATTAAGTTACCTCCCTGGATTAGTTGCCTCCTGAATCAGCCCTGACAAGGGCCTGGGTGCAAGGGAGGTATGTGCCCTTGACAGGAATCAAACCCGCAACCACTGGCGGATGGGAAACCAGCCAGGGCTTTTTTTGAAGTATCATTTGGATACAGGGTTAAACACTAGTATCTCTGTGTAGCTTTGTAGCTATCTGTAAGGACTTACTTTCCCCCTTCTTTCTTGGGTATTAATTATACCTATTTTGGTTCTCTACTACTGAAGGAGGGGAGACAAGATTCCATGAATAATTAAATCTGTCAGGGAGTTTCTGCCCTCTTTCACAAGGCACTATCAAAGATCCTTTCTGGTTATGAAATTGCAGGGAGGAATGTGAAGAAGGAGCTAAATTTGGTTCAACAGTGACTCAGATGATGTGTACTACTGTACAGATACTAATAATGGAGAGTTGTATTTATGGCTGAGCTCCCATGGCAGGCAGCTTTCCCCTAAATCATACATTTCTTAGGATACCAATATTAAACAGTTGCAGGTAATGTAATAAAGGTTTATCTTACAAAACTTTTCTCAAAGCACTTCATTATAAACGTTGTGCTAGTTTAAAATATTGTACCAGTATTTAAATGAGTGCTTAAATCCATTTGATTAACTGAAAGATCATTTGCTCCACCTATTAACAAAGAAACACAAGGTAATTATTAATACAGTACTTGTAACAGTATTTATTTGGTGGGTGTGCTTTTTATATTTCTTGAATTTATATTCAAGAATAAATTAGCTTATTATTTCGTGGTCTTTGTTTTATTTGAACCAGTTTTTAAGTTGTTGATTTATTACCACCCTTTATATAAAAGGAAGTTTGTGATTGTGGCCAAAGGTAAAAAGAAGAAAAAAAACCTCTGCCTTGTAATTAAAGATATTTTTGGATGCTGAAAGAAAATAGAGTGATCTAAAATACAGACCAAAAAAAGATTATGGACTTGGAGGAATGTAAGGAAACATGGAGAGGCAAGCCCTTTCAAAAAGCCTTTGTATATTTAAAAAGTTATTCTGCAGGCATTTGAGAGTCACTCGTTTGGAAATTTTGTATTAAGAAAGTCACATTATTACTAATGAAGTTAATGTCACTTTATATTGTATTGATGACAAGTGGGTTGGCAGTAGGTGGTGGGGTGTTCTGCTGCTTATATGAAGCCACATCTTAAGTACTGTGTTTAGTTCTGGGTGCCACTTTTATGAGGGCCATTACTAACTGGAGTTTATCCAGAAAAGTATGATGAAGGTGAAGATGGGGAATAGACTTGAAACTACCTAATCTAAGGAATGATCAAAAGGACAAGAAATTTTAGCCTGGTGAAAATATTTAGTTGATGATGTCATAGCTGTCTTCAGCGTATGAATGTCATGTGAGCAGGATTACGCTTATTCTCTTAGGTCAGAATCAGGACTGAGTGGGTCGAGTGGCAAGGAGGAAGATTTTGAGTCATCAAAAGGAAAATTTCTGATAATCTGAGCTATACCAAATTAGAATTAGCCTTATTAGATACTCATATTTATGAGTATCATAGAAAAATAGGTCTGTTTTGTTCCTTTACTTTTTAAACCATAGCTTATTCATTAATATATCAAAGAATTGGGCAATGAAATATTTAAATCACTTAAGAATGAGAGCTTAGCCCTAACCGGTTTGGCTCAGTGGATAGAGCGTCGGCCTGCGGACTCAAGGGTCCCAGGTTCGATTCCGGTCAAGGGCATGTACCGTGGTTGCGGGCACATCCCAGTAGGGGGTGTGCAAGAGGCAGCTGATCAATGTTTCTAACTCTCTATCCCTCTCCCTTTCTCTCTGTAAAAAATCAATAAAATATATTTAAAAAAAAAAAAAAGAATGAGAGCTTATACATGTACTTTCATATTCATTCAATAGATATTTACTGAGCCCCTGTCATGACAGGTGCTACACTAGCTGTTGATGGAGCACACATTGAGACTGGAAGTGTCACTGAACATTTTGAGGTTTACATATCTGCCCTTGCAATAGGAGTATAAGTGGTTCTTACTTGAATTGCAATACATAGAATATATTGAAATTTAGTTGTTGGAAATAAACTGTAGAGATTACCAGGCAACTGACCACAAAATAGATAATAGGGACACTAAACTTGACAAAAACTTATAACTGAGAAGGAAGAGTAGCAAAATTTGAAAGTAAGACCAACCCAAGATAAAGAAAACCCTTTCCCAAAATTGAGGAAATTCCAGCTGAGTATATATATGCACACGTACGGAAGGAGCTTGTTGATCATGCATGTTAAACACAATAAAAATTCTCTGTGCACTCTGTTAATAGGCCAGTTTTATTATGAATGCTAAATTTAAGACTCTTAATTAAACAAAAAATGTATGGGATTGTCTGTTTTTTGTCCTTCAAAAAGCAAAATAATTATTTCATTTTGGGGTCAATTTGTAGTTTATTAGGAAGATGCTGAGGACCACTGTTGAATGTTAGGCATTTAAAACACTGGTTGAGAGATTGGACTAAATAGTCTTTAAGTCCCTTCTAGTTTTGAGGGTTTTGTGCTTTTTTTGTGACCATGGCCTAAAAAAGATAAGCATTTTCATGTTTGAATAGACCATTTTATAGTGCTTCTCTTTCAGTAATGATGTAGTATTGTATTTTATAATGGATTATGGTTTTTGAAAGCTACAGACTTTTTAGAAGATACTTTTCTTACAAAGTAACTTTAGTTTCTTGCGTTTTATTTT